CTTGTACAGATCGCTCGACCTCTTTTACGAGGGATGGGCATAAGACTTTGAGTCGGATGACGTTCCAGGACTCGGCCTGACGAACCGGAAATAGACCGCATGCTTGGCTATCCCCTCTGACGGAGGGGCGTGTGTGTGTGCACCCTGATTCTAAGCTAAGGGTTTTTGGAAAGTCTTTGAGGCTTGGCGGAGAATGTATTTTATGCAGGGGGCGCGAGGTCCTTTGACATAGCTCGCGCCAACGAAGCTCTATGTCATCGGGCAGGAAAACGTACCTGCGCGTGGAGTACCTGGGCAAGTTGTTGCAGCTGGTATCCACTATACTGCTTGTGACATCATGTACCCTCAAAACCCGGAATCCTCGGTCCTCAAATAATTTTGAGTCCGAACGCTCCAGATGGCTTGCACCTTGGGACATCGGCATTAGTACTCCTACTACTTCATTCTCATCAACATGCAGGAGATCTCCGGACAGGGAAGCCAATGAGAGTTTACTCTCTTATCTCCGTGTGTGTGTGTGTGTGTGTGTGTGTGCGTCTCTGTGTGTGTGTGTGTGTGTGTGTGTGTGTGTGTGTGTGTGTGTCTGTGTGTGTGTGTGTGTGTGTGTGTGTGTGTCTGTGTGTGTGTCTCTGTGTGTGTGTGTGTGTGTGTGTGTGTGTGTGTCTGTGTGTCTCTGTGTGTGTGTGTGTGTGTGTGTGTCTGTGTTTAGGGTCTAGGGTATACAAACACGGACATAAAGCTATATACCCCGACACCTTTCTGTCCTTTAGGGTTTAGGGTTTAATCTGCAGCTGCATGAAGGCTATGCCGATCTTGACAACCCCGTCTTCTACAAGGCAAGCATGGCTGGGCATTGAGGCTTTGGGCATTTGGTCTTTCCGCCGGTGTGGTTTCTTTCCGGCTGCTGAACTAAAAAACACCCCCTTCTGCACTCCCCCATAAGCCCGAAGCCCCTATACACCGTCTTTTTTAAAAATAAGCACAGCGCCTATAGGTAACCTGAACCTAAAGAACCCTGAGCTGCCTCTGCACGCACTCGCCACCACAGTTCCGGCACTAGGAGAACACCGAGATGCTTTTGGGCGACGCGAAGAAGACCTCCGACTCCCTGGCAGCCATGGTCAAGGAAAGATTCTTGGTGCAGCCCAGTGGTACCCCTTTTTCCTTTTTTTGGTTCAAGGCTCACTTATAGAGTACCCTTTTCCCCTGTTTTTTTGCGGGGTTCAAGGTTCCAATCTGGTGACTGGGCTACTAAGGATTTGAGAAGGTCTAGACGAGCCATGGGAGGACTGGGCTCTCGCGGCTCTCTGGGCGCCGGATCTCCCTAAACCTTTACGAGTCCTTATATGATGTTTATCTTCACAGGTTCAGGGTTTCAATGTCAACGTGCTGGCGATTCTTCTGAACATGCACGAGTCTACAACCCTGTGTTTCAGACTTGCGTCTTGCTACTTGTGCTCAAGCGGGTTTACGTAGGGTTTAGGGTCCATACTGCCACTAAAACCTGAACCTTCCCTTGAGGAGTCGCAGAAGTTCGACACACCTGTGATTCTTTAGGGGGGGAGGGGCCATGGCCCTTTTCTCAGTCATAAGCTTCACATCCAGTTGAAAGAGCCCAGGCCAGGCAGCAACCTTCAACATGTTCAAGGGCCCACCCTCCCCCAGTTGAAAGACCAATTTCAACTGTAGCAGTGTGATTTGTTTGCCTGTCCGCTGGTGCCACAAAGTGGCGCGCTGTCACATGCCTGGGTCCCTCACACGGCCTGAAGTTGAAGGCCATGTGGGGGGGGCCCTTGCGCACTTAAAGCTGCAGTCGTGCATTGAGCATGTAGGCATATGTAAGCTTATCAAAGGCAGCGGCCCTTGTAAGAATGAGGGTCGGAACCTTGTGGATGACAGCACCCCGACCAGTTTTGGGCAGAGCTCCAGTTTCCTTTCCCTTCTGCGGGCAGCAGCTTGGGGGCAGCAGAAAGATCTGCGATTTGGGCAGTGTGCGCTCAGGAGCAGGGCAATCCCTTATTCGTCAGGGTTTCACAGGCTTTATTTAGGGTTTAGGGTTCAGGGTTTAGGGTTTAGGCTTTACCATTTTAAAGGGTTAAGGGGGTTGCAAAGGGTTTAGTATGGGCAGGAGGCTGCTGTAAAACCTTTGGGCCACTCTTCCTTATAGTTTCGCCTTAGACAGCACGGACAAAGCTCATGAACCAGAACCCGAAACCCTGTCAACTCTATAAACCCTCTAAACCCCCACAAGCCTCTGTAACCCCCTATAAACCCTGAGAAGCCCTATGAACCCCACCCTCTAGATCAACTCTACAAACCTAGACCCTTATCCACTGTTTGCTTAAGAACCCCCCCCCCCCCAAAAAAAAAAGGTAAGAATCCCTATATTGCCCTTAAGAAGGAAGAAGAATATCTAGCCTTTTTTGGGGTGGTTCGTAGGCAGTAGTACTTATAGCCACAAAGAACTCGGGCATGGCTCCTTCAACTTCACTGCCGATTTTTGGAGCCCCACCTGCTGGAACGCAGTCGTGAATGCAAAGCATTGTTTTGTAGTTCGATGTCTCAGCGGCAAAAAGAAGGGCCCCATATGGGTGTGTGTTGTGTGGCTGCAGGGCGTGCTTTGGGTTTTGTATAGGGTTTAAGGGAGTTTGGGGCATGAAGGCGATGCTGGATTTTTCAGTCTCAGTTCGCTATTCCGAGCGTCCACCGCTTGAACCTAACGGCCTCGAGCACAATGACCGAAGGGATGACGGCGGCACAAATTCCAGGAGGGCAGCGTCGGTGCGATCTTGGTGCATTGATCCAAGACGGCACACGCCGACATAAAGTCTGTCCAACAACATGCCTCCGACAATGACAGGTCCGGTCGAGTGCTCTCGGATTCTTCGCTGGGTGTGTTTGCTTAGCAGTTGAGGCTTCACGAAAAAGAAAACGGAGCGTGCGCGTGCTTCTTCGCTTCTTTGCCTTTTGGACACAGCCTGCGGGCTACCCTGGATGGGAAGCAAAAGCAGGAGGCGGGCAAGCTTTTGTAGTCATTCCTGTCGTTCCAGGCCTCAGGGGATCTGTCTACAACATGCGGTCACGCGATGTCACTGGCAAGCAGCCATGCCGCAGCGGATCGCCAGAGAACGAACAGGCCACGCCTCGTTTTCCACGAGTCTGCCACTGGCAGAAACTTCGTGCACACACATGAGATGTCCATATTGGTTTGTCGCCACACCATGGCACTCAAGCTTTCATCGCGCGGCAGGTCGTCGACGACAACTGGGCTTCTTTACCTGCCGCAGTTGACTTCGACTCACCGGATTATGTGCCGCACACGCACACCTTCTGGCCCGGCAGAACGTTCTCCAGGACCGATGTCCACGCTTTGACACGCAGAGTGCCTCTGTGCCTCCTGAAGATGCACGAGCGTATGCCGCCGGAACGACACTGTCTTTGCATTGCCCCTGCTTGGGTTGAGATGTCACCATTCCATCCGACGAGAGCGTGACTTACGTGTTCACCGCCAGACCGGTTTCGCCCGAATCGTTTTTTTCTGTGTGCTGCTGCTCCGCCGGCTTTTTGTTCCGTCGCCCCTGACCAGCAGCTACAAGTGGTCGGGTATCCTCAGGGCCAAGGGCGGGCCTCTTGAGTGTCCCTGCCGCCTGCAAGTACCTGTGGACCTAAGCGTTGATGCTGCAATATGTGTTACGCTGGTGTGGGCTCTGTAAACAAGAGAAACGCGATGTTTCACGTGTAAGATGCAAAACAAGCTGCAGAAAAAATGTAGCGAAACCTTCAAACGCATCAGGCCAATCGCGAGATTTCTGCACAAAATCAACTTGATCCGAGCGAAGGCTCCCAACTGCGATCTACAGTTGTGACAAGGCCGCGGATGGGCTTGCCGGGAAACGGGCAACTTCTTGCGCATGTGACCCGTCGACCTCAGGATGATTTCCGGATGGTTTTGAAGCCCCAACCCCCTCCAGGCTGCCTTTGACGAAAAGTCCAAACTGAGGCAACGTCTTGGCAGGGAAACTCAAGGTTCGAAAAACCACGGTGCATGTCACCCGGGTGCTGGCTGAACAAGGGAAGCTCAGCTGTCTATTTTCTGAATGCACGCACAGTACGGTGGTTGCAGGGCTGCGGTCCAACAAGCCCCAATGGCTCACCCAGAAAGGGTGCATTTGCTGCACGAACTTGCCAGTTCAACAAGCGCCGCTCTTGCAAAGCATCATTTTCACTCCAACACCGTGTGTGAGAACCAAAGTTGGCGCCGTTCGGCGCTGTGTTGCCCGCCTTTTGATTCACGCCTGCAACGCCGTGCCTCTTTTTGCAACACTTTACGCGGCCCTTTGGGGTGAGCCTGCATGAATTTGCGGCAAGTCCTGCAGCCCAACCTCGCGCGAACGTCGCGCGAAACCAGACTTGGCTCTCTCGCTCGAGTCCTCGGATCACAAGTTTTTCGTGCAACAATGGGATCATCGTGTTGCAGAGTTGAAGATTAATACATCCAACATGAACCTTCGGACCTGCTAAATTTTTATCCAAAGCACAGGGTCACAAAGATCCACATGGTGGAGTTGTACAACGCGAGGCGGGTTCGTAAACAAAAACTGCTCGGCGAGCCGCTCGGCCACCCAGCATTCGTCCAGACCAACGGCTGCTCTGCGATGTGCGCGTCGCCCGCGAAAACCGCGCGCTCCGTACAATACCGCCCTGGGAAGTCGCCGGATACGCTCCAGCCCATGATACTGCCATCTGGGGCACGCGGCTACGCGGCAGGCCACCATGGCGCAGTCCTCCGCTGCCTTGCCGCGCTCTTGTTTGCCGATGAGGCGTCGCAACTGCTTGAGCCTGCTCAAGAACGTGCGAAGTTCGCATTGTGACACGGCTCTGACCGGCTGCTCCCATCGGCTACACGCGATGAGCCAGAGCTTGTAGTAGTCTTGCATTGCCACATACCGTAGACCCTTATTCCAGGCCGCCACGTGCAACGTGCGCAAGCTGTGGGCGCCATGGTCCGGGGCTACCGCCTGGAGACGACATGTGCGATGCAAGAGTTGCGCCCGATGTCGCCCGACCTGCACCAGATCCTCGCGGAAGTCCGGGACAATTCCTCGCCGATCGCCAGCCAGCGGCCGGCAACCTTATCCGGCCCGTGTAGGTTGCTGTGTTCGTGCATTGGGATCGCGGTCATTGTCGCAGAGAGAGAGAGAGAGAGAGAGAGAGAGAGAGACTTGTCTTCGAACGAGCATGTGTTATGGTCAGAAACTGAAACATAATGCATGACGTTACATCTCACACGCAGCAACTGCATGGCACAGACGGCCAACGAATGCAATGTTGCACTCAATGTTTCGGGCAGTGTTGACAGCTGGGTCGGTGGAAAGCAATGTGTGCAACGAAAGGACGCGCCGTCAAAAGAAAGGTGCGTGGGTGAGAACAAAAGAGAAAAAAACAAACAACGCCTCGAAAGGTTTTAGGCTTCTAAGATTGCAGGGTTCAGGGTTGGGATCTCGGACTCTTTGGATTTCAGGACTTGGCACTTCAAGTTAGGATTTTGATTCAAGGCCCGTGCACCACTGAGCTGAGATTCATATTCGTGAACAAACATCTGTCAATCAAAGGCAGATCCATGCTTCCATCTTGCAACAATCGATTACGCAATTCAAGAGTGGTGAACACCACGAGCACCATCGAGCATCAGGCATTCCCGTGTTTGCATGTGTTTGCATAATCGTTTCAAAGGCGGTTCAACCGCGCGCATCATGAGCATCAGCATCAATTGTGGGCATCATGAGCATTCGCTGCTGTCATGAGCAATGAGCTGTGAGCATCATGAGCATTAGTTTCCCATAAACGCGTGTCAGTGTTTGCGCAATCAGACTTGTGAACTTGGTTTTGTTGCACAAGCATATGCCGAGTTGTTGCAGATTGCGTGCCAACATGATGCTTCAATGATGCAGTGCTTCAGTCGAACTGGGGATGCGGCTGCCGCGCAGCACTTAGCACAACTTGCTACCCAGTCGCATGATGTCGTCGGGCTCGCAGTTGTTCTCCCTGGAGTTGTTGACGTGCACGGTCATATCCCAAACCAACTTCAGGATTTACTGTTGCAAGTTTTTGGCGGTCTACGGCTTGCGTCAGATCTTGAGTCAGCGGTGACGGCATTTCGGAACACAGGCAGTTGGCCCGTGGATCTTTCAAGCCTTTCATGTGACTCGAGTGGTCCAAGCCACGTTCGACAACAGATGTTGTCCGGACCACATCGGGTTCCAAATGGCCACGCAGGTTTGTCACTTGCTCATGGACATGCTGCAGCAAGCAACTCGCGGTTCAATGCTTCAGCTTGTAATCGGAGTTCCTCTGAGCCCAGTCGCGGGGTAATGATGCAGGAACCTTCAGTTGATGCCGTTGATCTTGCACCTGTGCTGCGTATCAACTTGCATGAGCACGCCTGTTCGCGCCATGTCACTTCACGTTTTGGTGCTTTGCGTCGTTGTTCCGTGTGCAACATGAGGCTCGCCCGCGAGGTCTCATATTTTCGATGTGGGCATGGTTGCCGTTTTGCAGCTTGTGTTGAATGCTTCCAGGCACCCGTGACACCGTGTGTTTTGGAGCAAGACCAGACGTTGGGAGGCTCTGTGCCCAGCCGTGTCCGAGCCGCGCCGGACGCGGGAGAGGAGGTCGATAGCGCCGCCTTGGGAGCCTCCGTTCCTGTTGCTTCCGTTCCACCTCAACTTACACGCTTCACACGTTTCGTTTGTGAGCCTCGTGACGAATTTGCCCGTAGGATTCGTGAGATGATTGACTCTGGCCAGTTTTCTGGCATTGGACGACCAGATCTCCGCATGGAAGGCCCTACTGCTTGGGGAGTGTGGCTGCGCATTTTTCCCGCCGCCCCTCCACGTGATGCTAACAATGGTCGTGGTGCTCGTGCTCGTTGTGGGGTTTTGTATCATGTGTCCCAAATGACTGTGTTCTTCCATGGTGACGAACAGGTCATACGTGAGTCATTGCTCCCTCTCTTTGAATCATGGACTTACACTTCTATTGATGTCATGCCACAGCGTATCCCCGAAGCTCCTGCGTTGCCCGCTCCGCCCCCTCTTGAGGTTTCGCAGTGCACACCTGGAAGCAATTCGGGGGAACTTCCAAACTCTCTGGCGTCTGGGGTGTCTGTCGTGACGGGCCATCGCACAAACTGTAACGTTGTTCCGGAGTGTGATGGTCAAATAGAAAGTGGATGCATTGCGTCATTGCAAAACTTGCCACGCCTGGTTGAGGAATTGATTCAAGGTCAGGCCCAATTGCAGCACACGCTCTCCACACTGTCCAGTCGCTTGGATCTTTTCTGTTCGGTTCCTCCGGTCTCCTCTGCTTCGAATCCCGTTGCGCAGGGTGCGCAAGCGCCAGGTGCTCATCCGCCTCCGGGTCAGCATGACGTTCGCGTGCCACCGGTTCCTCCGCCTCCTCCTGCGCGCTACCCGCGCCCTGTCTCGCGTGAACATGCCGACACCAACCACGCCGAGCTCGCGCCGGATGTGCGTGTTTGTCGACGCGCCAATTGCCGTAATTCATGTGCAGATGCATGTCGCACGGGTTTTTGCCCTTCTCATTGCTCCAGCCGACGTTGTCCATGTAATGTCAGCTTGGCAGATGCCCCTGCTGCGGCCGCTGTGCAGTCGCCCCGCTCCTGTCGACGGCCGGGTTGTCAGGGTGTTGTTGCCACTTCCTGTCGAACAGGCTTCTGTGCTGCCCACTGCTTCAGCCCGCGTTGTTCTTGCACACAAGGGCCCCCGCGCCATTGCGGCACGTCGGTGCCCACGGCTCCACCAACCCAAGCGTGCCGCCGTCATGATTGCGACTCTGAAGTTGGACCCAATTGTACTTCAGGCTACTGTGCGTTCCACTGTTATAGCCGAAGCTGCGCATGCAGGACACGGCTGCACTCTGTCCCTGCGCAACCTCCTGATCGTAACGCACCGCCGCGTCGACGCGTGTGTAGCCATGACAACTGTTGGGTGTTGGTCCAGTCGAACTGCCGAACAGGATTTTGTCCGCAGCACTGTGCTCGGTATGCTAGCACAAGTTGCCCTTGTCGCGATGCCCCTCTCACACGTCGTTGCCGGCGTCATGGCTGTGCCGGGCTTGTTGCGGACGCTTGTCGGACCGGCTACTGTGAAGCACACTGTGTCAGTCCTAGGTGCTGCGGTCAGTCGAACAGTCGTTCTGGGCACCCGTGGACCTCCTCCGTTATCGAGGCCCCTTTGCGGCGCTATCTCTTTGAGATGTGTTCAGGCCTGCCCGATCATGTAGATCATCTTCCTGCTCATATTCGCACATCTCTTGAAGAGTTACGCACCTTTGCCCAGGAAGATGTGTCGGGAAACGGGGGCGGCCCTCGTCGTATTCGTCAACACCGCGGGGGCCGCACTATCTGAGTTTGGCGCTTTTGAATTGCAACCGACTGTGGTTGCCGAGCGGATCGGAGCACGCTGCTTTCCATGGTTTGACCGGCTTGTTGCAAACTTGGAATGTTGACCTTGTGTGCGTCCAGGAAACGCGTGCCCCTGCCGGAGCAGCTTTACCAGTTGATCAGCCATACGTGTATGATGGGCCTCAAGGTGTTCATGGCTGTGAGGCTGGTTTCCTTGTCAATGGGGCGTCATCCTCGGCGCCAGTTTCGCTCCACGCTGCCTCATCACGTTTGAGATGGAGATGCTTCGCCCCGCAATCCAATACGACTCATCCCATTTTGGTTTGTAGTTTTTACGCGCCTCACGTTGGCATGCCTGTGGCTGTGCGTGTGAACTTTTGGCACGAACTTCGCGCGTCAATTCAGGAAGTCCTTCGCCTCCACCCGCGTTGCCAATTATTGCTAGCTGGCGATTCCAATGTGTATATGGGAGAAGTTATGGGGTCGGCGCGTGAGCGCTCCTGCGAGCGGCAGCTCCGTGAGCTAATCCGTGGCATTTGTGCAGACTTTCAGCTCGTTATCGCGAATCCCTTCGGGGTCCCAACCCATCGCTCTGGCTCAAGCATCGACTTGGTTTTGGCGTCGCAAACGTTGGACGTTTGTGATGTTGTTGTGCACGATGGTTCTTCATGCGGGTGCCCTGAAAGCTCATGCTGTCCCGTCCTCGGCAGCGACCATAAGGTCCTCACCTTCCAAGTGAAGGTGTCCGCGCCTCCTGTTGAGGATGCTTCTCCAAGTTGGCCATCGGTGCGTGACTGGGGTCCAAGCATTTGCAGCTTGCGCCCGCGTTTGTTGGCCTGGTCTGAGAAGCTCCTCCGCCTACGTCGAGAAAACCCATGCTGTACTGTTGCTGATCGTCGTGTGATGTTGGACATCCTTTACGGTGAATTCGTTTCCATGTTATGGCATTCGTGTGCTCCCACCTTGCGTCCTAAACGAGTGGGGGGCCGTCCTCAACCGGATTGGTGGGACGGAGAATGTTATGATGCCATGGTTGGTAAAAATGCTGCGTGGCGTCGTTGGTGTCGCGAACGCACCCCTGCTGCCCAGCAGGCCTTGCGCGCGAAAAGGCTCCACTTTCACCATTTGGTTCGCAAAAAGAAAGCAATCTTTTGGCACACGTGGCTTCAATCCCAGGAGCACGCCGCGCAATCGAATCCGTGCATTGCTGCCAGGAACATTCGGCGACAACTTGGAACCTCCAGGCACTCTGTCCCGCGCTGCATGCGTTCTGCGTCGTCCGAGTGCAATTACGTTGAGGGTGAAGCTTGCTTGGAGGCCTGGCGTTGTCACTTTCGCGATGTCCCGGCTTCCGCCGTGCCAGGCCCTCGCGAGAGCGGGGTTGATGCCCAAGATCTGGCACCTCGTCTCCGTCGGTTGCGTGAACAGATGGCTTGTACGACCGGCCGGTTGGATTATCCGTTCTCTGAACCCGAACTTGTGCAAGTTCTTCAAGAACTGCCCTTGAAGAAAGCGCCGGGTCCCGACGGCTTGACATATGAGGCCTTTAAGGTTGATGACGGCATTCTTCGTTCGGCGTTATTGTCTTTCTTTGAGCTCGTTCGGTTCTGGGCTGTTGTCCCCTCGGTGTGGCGGACTGCTATTGTCAAGCCCTTGCATAAAACCGGTTCGGCCGAGGAATTCACAAATTATCGACCCATAAGTTTGTTGTGTTGCGCATTAAAGATTTTCGAGAGATTGTTGTTAAAGCGCCTGTTGCCACATGTCAGCCCGCAAATTGATGAAAGTCAGGCAGGCTTCCGGTGGGGTGCTGAAGAACACGTTTACACTCTTGCTGAATGTCTACGCCTCAGGGCCCGCAAGCGCACGTTCTGCGCCTTCGTCGATGTGCGTAAAGCGTTTGATGTCGCTTGGAGGGATGCGGTCAAGGTTAGGTTAGCTGATTTGGGTGTCACAGGCTCCACTTGGAAAGTGTTGGACGATCTTTTGACTGACACGTCCGCGCGTGTTGCGGTGAATGGATCCATGTCTCAGCCCTGGTCGGAAACCGCTGGCGTCCGTCAAGGCAGTGTTTTGGGCCCACTCCTTTTCAACATCTTGTTTGACAGCATTTCCGCAGCTGTCCGTGCCGCGTGCCCTGGTGTTGCCCTCGGCGGCAGCGGCTCGCTCAGGCTCACGCTGCTGCTTTACGCTGATGACTTGGTTGTGTTGGCTGAGAACCCTCGAGATTTGCAGCGGGCCCTGGATGCCATTGAAGCTTGGGGATCCAGTTGGAGATTCTCTTTTGGCATAGGGCTTGAGAAAACTGCTGTTCTTGTTGTGGGTTGTAGGGCGCCCAATTTTCACTTCCGCCTGCAAGGCGCTGACGTGCCAGTGGTTTCAGAGTACTGTTACCTTGGTGTTTTGTTTCAATCGTCGAGGGCATGGTCAAAGCATGGCCGTCGGCTTTATGAAAAGAGTAACCGCAAATTTCATCAATTCCTCGCCTGGGCCGAGAATCGTCAGTTGCCCACCGGGTTTCGCCGCAGTTTGTTTCAATCATACGTTCTCCCGTCGATGCTCTACGGCTCCCAATTTCTGAGTGCTGCTTCCATTTCATTTTTGGATACCAAGCTGCGGCAATGGGGTCGTCGTCTGTTGCAGTGGCCTGCCGGGGCTCCAGGTGCAGCTGTGCTGGGCGAATTGGGCTGGGTTTCTTTTGCCTTTGAGGTTTTCAGGGCTCAGTTCGGTTTGTTTGGGCGCCTGTCCTCTGTGCATCCTGATGGTGCTCATCGAGGTCTGGCTGCTCGTGTATTTCGCTATGCCCTAGGGCGGCAGGGTTCTTGGGCCCAGCAGGTGTCCACTAGTTTGTGCGAGAACGGTATTGATATGCCACACTTGTGGGGGGTGTCGCCGGGCTGCAGCCCGCGCGCTCTTGCTGTGTGGCAACGTCGCTGCATGCGCCCCGCCTTGCATAGGAATGCAGTGGCTGCCTGCCGTAATGAAGTTGCGGCTATGCCTTCGCTCCGCTTGTTTGCCCAGTGCCACAGCCACATGACCTTTTGCTCATATGTCCACAACTCTCGCTTGCAATCATCAGTTGTGCGTGAGTGGTCATTAGCACGTTGTGGACACCATCCATTTATGGATGGGCGAACAGCTCGTCATCGGTCTCAGAATTTGCCGTGCCTATGCGGCGATGACGACTGGAGCTTTCTTCACGCAACGCGCGTTTGCCCGATTTTCGCATCCTGGAGGGATGTGTGGCTATGTGTGGCTGCGGCGCTGTGAAGCGGCAGGTGTGCATGGAGTTGAGCAGTTTGCTGACGCTGCCTTCTTGCAGCTGCTCTTTACGCCGCATGACCGGCGCAACTCCATTAGTCTCATGTCTGCCCACTTGAGCTTTGTGGCAGCCGTGTGTCAAGCCCAGCGTTCCCTGCTGGACGGTCTGAGCGTGTAATTCTGAACGCTGTTAGTTTGAGTTATGTTTCGTTGTACATCGCGATCTGTACATTTGTTTCACTTGGTAGTTAGTCGCTGACCGCTGGACGGTTGCTTGAGGACTCGTGCTGCTGCAGGCACAAGCGGCCTTAATCATGGATGATATTGTCGCAGCTTTTGGTGAAGCTGGATTAATTCTGCATTGTGCGAAGACGAAAGTTTTGACAACTGAAGGTCACGCTCCACACACTTTGACGACCCGGAATGGTTTGACTAGATGTTCTGGACCGGGCCACAACGCACAAGTGGTTAGGTTGCTTGTTATCAACACGTTCTCCCGGTTCTCATGCAGAAGACGTGGGTTACCACATCCCAGCTGCTTTCAAAGTACTCTTTGCTCATCGCTGGATATTCGGTGACAAGAATGTCTCATCACGTCGTCGCCTAATTTGTTTTGATGCAGTGGTCACTCCTATTGCGTGTTTCGCAGCGGGACATCGCAAAGTATACGCTCATGATTCACATAAGCTCGATGTGGCCATGCGACGCATGCTGCGGTCCACAGTCGGCGCTCCTTCCGGAATGGACTGGACCAGACCGTGGCATGCAATGTTACACGATTGGAATACTCGAGTCCAACTGGTTTTGCAAAAGGATAACATCCTTATCTCGTTGCCGCCTGAACGTTGGGTTCAGCGCGCTTTAAATTGGAACCAACAAGAAAGTTGGAACCCTGGACGTCGGTGTGTGTCAGACCGTCCAATATTGGCATGGGAGGCAATGATTGTGCTTTTTTGCCGCTGGAAACAACGTGGCCTTGCGGAAACCGGATGGCGGGGAACGTCTTTCGCAGGCTCGTTTCCCGGGCGTTGGCCAAAACTTGGGTGTCTACTTTTGACTCACGGTCCGGGATGGATGCCCTGGTCGACCGGCTGTGAATCGCGCTGGAGACGCACCCCGACGTGACGGTGGTTTCCTGGAGGGCCGCTGCGCTTATGGCTTATGACACGGTCTCGCGAGCTGCCTTCCTCAGCAAAGTACACCAGGTCGCCCAGCCTTGCTACCTTTCGTGCGACTGTTTTACGGGCAGCCCTCGGTGTATTGCTGGTGGGACGCGGCAGGCCTGTGTCGTGATATCAGCCAGGCCGAGGGCTGTGAGCAAGGAGATGCGCTGGCTCCAGCGTTGTTCTCCCTCGGGCAACACGACGGCCTTGCGAATGCGGCGGAAGACCTCCAGGCAGGCGACGAGCTGTTCGCATACCTGGATGACCTGTACGTCATCGCGGGACGCGCCAGGGGCCGGCATGACGGATGTTGGATGCGGGGAGACGCCACCAAGCGTGAACGAGCTGGGCGAAGACGTATGGCGCGGTGGCCGCCCAACCCACGAGCGCGGGTTTACCGCACTGGGTGTCCCGCTGGGCCACGCGGACTACGCACATGCGTGGGCGCGGCGCCGCGTGCAGGAGAAACCGATTTTGCCGGACCACCTGCCGCATCTTCCTGATGCCCAGTGTGCATGGCTCTTCCTGCTCATGTGCACGAGCATGCGTGCCAACCACGCGCTGCGCAATGCCCTGCCCGAGGTCACCCGTCGGTATGCTGAGGCACGTGACCGGGCGCTGTGCATGACCTTGTGGGCTTGCTAATCGACTGCACACGGAAGGTTGGCATACCTGCCCCACGTGGGAGTCCTTCCTTGATGACTCGTGTGCATCTCCCCCGGCCCGGGACGCATGTCCTGGTGACCCACGGCTGGCAGCCGGCCTTGGAGCTTAACCAGGCCTTGCTGCAGTCCCAGTCGGGCCGCAGGCATGGCCCCACAGAGAGCGTGATGCTGATAGCTGTGCGTCGAAGGCTCCGCTTGCCCTTGCCGCTGGGCGCGGGTGAATTTGTCCTTTGCGATGCTGAGGCGGGCTTATACTAGTAAAATGCTGGGAACGTAGTGGGCGAAAGCGGTCAATTTTTTTTTTGGCACGGATGTGGGCGAAAGCTCGACGCGTGGGGCGACCACGCTCCAGCTTGCACCCGTGCAATGAGCGTGGTATCGACCGCGAGCTGTGCCCCGTTCCACAGCGGCAGACCGTTGGCGATGACCTCAATACGACGCTCATCGTTCCGGGAGCTGCCGTTGGTGAGGTTGAGGTCCCGGAGCAGCGCGTGGGTGACAACGCGAGCCCCGGCCTCGCGGCAAACCCGAGCAGCTGCGCGCTCTAGCGGACATCCGCGGCGGCGCAGTAGCCCGGATCGCGGACACGCCGCCCTTTGATCCCCAACCTAGTCCAACCGTTTGCAGCACCGACAGTGGGCAGCGTCGAGCGGGAGGGTCAAGCGCAGCCTGCGGAGGCGGAGTGAAGACCCGGGACGCGGCCCGGCTTGCGACTGCAGCAGGGCGCGGGAGCCCGGGCTGGCGAACCTGTACAACAGAATGTCGGCGAATCTTGGCAAATGAGCTACATCAGGCAACTTGTTGTTCAACTCATCTTCCCATCGTTTGGAGCGGGGGGGGCGACCTGGTCGTCGGTCTCGGCACACATTGCACACTATTTGAAAGGTTGCAGGCTCCTTTACTAACTTGTGCTTCCCACACGGTGGTTTGGGCCCATCGTTGCTTTCGGCATGTTTGACACTATCGGGGCCCAGGTGATCCCACGTGCCTGGGCTCCATCCTCACGCGCTTTCGCGGGTAAGCCCAAAACATCACGCCATGCATTAACTTTACATGGCGTGCTCGCTCACAAAAAAAATCATTTGTCAACGCCAACCATGCAGCTGTGTCGGTGGCCACATCACGCCATTTTTTGCGCGAGGTCCGGGGTCACCTGCGTGGTCGTCTGCCTGGCGGCAGCGACAGCCTGCTCGGGCCTTCCGGCATCACAGCACAAGGCCATTGCCTTGCGGGCATGCCCCATGCACGACCATGTCAAGTCGTTGGCGGGCCTGCGGCGACACGCCTGGGGCCGAAGTGTGCGCCAGTTACTGCTGTGGCACCACTGGCCTTCCGCTCCGACCGCCTCACGGCAAACAGTGAGCCGAGCCCGCTCGACGAATTTCGCCCTACTACAGCAGCCTTGCGCCTCTCCAAGGAGCGCGCCTACCCCGAACTCGTCCGGTCGGCTCGCTGTCGGCTCGTCCTCCTCGCCATCGAGGTCGGAGGCCGCGGGAGCCCCGAAGCGGCACGCTTCGTGCGCTTGCTCGCTCGATGTCGGGCTCGGGCGGTTCCGGCAGCATGCCGGGCCCAGGCCACCAGCGCCTTCGCCCGCTGTGGTCCGCGCTGCTCACCATTTCCGCAGCCCGGGCCTTCGCGGCGCCTTCGCGGCCACCCTCCTCGCGCTGCGCGTCGCCTCCACCGACAACGTCGACGGGCCCGCACCGACGTCAGCGAGGTCTTGGCAGAGGCCCGCTACTCCGAGGCCCCGCCTCTCGCGAGCCGCATGCCGGCTTGAACCGGGAGGCTGACCCCCATTATCATAATCCCCCATAACCAACAGCCCTGCACCGGGACCTGCGCGGAGATCGTGGCACAACAAAAAAACTCACACTAGCTTACTTCGGGTGCCAATTCATGGGGTGGGCCGCCCTATACCCGACCCCCTGAATGACCCCCGCAAAACTACAGACACCCCATGACACCCCCGCAGAACGCTGAGCATCGCAGCAGTGTGGGCCCTGCCGAACTCGCACAGCTGGATTCGCAATCGGGCCTCTTTGCGGCCGGCGGCCAGGGTTTTCATTGTCCGTCCCACGCCATCGACCCGGCGCCATTCCATGTGTTGCTGCTTTTCCGCCTGCAACTTCCTTTACCGCTTGCCGCTCCGTTTCAATGAGCCGTAGGACGATGGTCGGGGTTGCCGCAGCAAGGTCCTTTGCTAGCCAATCGCCAATACCGCCAATGTTGACGGCTAACCTCCACTGCTCAGCGATGCTCTCGCTGACTTATTTGTCTCCCCACGTTTCCCGCCTTGCCCCGTGAGCTATGGGCCGCCCGAGCTCCTGCTGCACTGGACTGGGACCGCGATGGTGGCAAAATGTCGCGGAGAAACAAAAAACAAAACGACTCGGCTTGGGAAAAACTCCCCAACCGCAACATGGCATGGTCCCCCACTCTGCAGCGAGAGGCTGGCGAAAACCTGTGAAAGTAGAATAAAAGAGGCGGTATTTATTGGCAATTACAATTTTCCGTTTTAAATAGGTCCATATAGTGAATTTGTTGTTTTTTGTTTAAACCCGCGCATCAGCATTGTCCCAGTGCAGGGGCCATCGCAGAGCATGGTCCGGGGGGGTTCGAACCTGAATTCAACCCAGGTTGAACCTTTAGGTCAGGTGTCGGGGTGGGGGGGGGGGACAACAACATCGGGAAACTGGGTTGAACCTGGGTTGACCTGAGTTGAACCCAGGTTGGTTGAACCCAGGTTCACCCCGCGTTCCCCAACCTATGTTGAACCCAGTCCCAGGGACCATCAGGGAACCCAGGTTTTTGAGCCAGAGTTGAACCAGGGTTGAACTGGGTCTGTGGAGGGCTGGCGACAACAAGCAAATGGGGGGGACTGCTTTCAACAACAAGCGGGGGGCCCCAACCCCCGCTTGTTGGGAACAACAAGCCAATGGGGGGGCGGGGGGGGGAGGTTCTCCCTCCCCCCCTTCCAACCCCGGGGGGAGGGCTGCCCCCCCCCCCCCACCCCCCGCGTTTCATTATGTCAGAAAACTTGCTGTCATTTAGTAGATTATATTTTTGTTGTTTATTTTCAAGTCTGATATCCGATAATCAACACAATAAATGACAAAACAAGAAAGGAGGGGGGTGGAATTTAGACTTCTTCTCCACTTTTTTACTTATTCTCTACGCCTCTGATCTTCGAATAATGAAGACAAGAAACAAAAAACTAAACGAGGGGGTGGAATTTAGAGTAATTTTCGACTCCTCTGATTTTCGAATAATGAACATAGGAAACAAAACAAGAAACGAGGGGGGTGGAATTTAGATGAATTCTCTACTCCTCTGATTTTCGAATACTGAACACAAGAAACAGGACAAGACACGGCGTGCGATCAACCCGGTGTGTGGGCACTCGACCTCGTGGTCACCCAGCGCGCCGCGCGTGAGGCCGCGATTCTGCGTGCCCCCACCGCAGATGCTTCGACATGGCCAGCCGCAGGCGTCGGCGCAGTGCGATTTGCATCGTGTCGTGGCCGTCAGCCCGATCGAGAACATATATTTTTTTGGCCCCCGTAGAATGGCACGCAGGTAAGTTTAGAATGGCACGAAGACCCCCACGACGCTACGTTGGCGTTGAATAAGCTACTGTATGCACGAGCAGTTGCAACTTTTCGCGAAATGGAACGTTGTTGCACTCAGGTGGCCTTTGGAAGAAGACGTTCGCAAAGGCAAGGTTTGCTGAGCCAGTGGCCTGCCGGCATGGTTTGTTTTATTGCTCGGCGCCCAGGCAGTTTCCCACATGTCCAAAACACATTGGCCGTTGGCACGTCATCATTTTTTGGAGGCCGAAAGTGCGAGCCGCGTTGCCCGCAGCAAGCTGCGCGCGAACAAGCAGGTTCGCTTCTCAGGGAGAAAAAACGGTAATTAGTTTGCAGTGTTTCGGGTGGGTTGGGAGGCGTTTGTTCCTGTTCTCGATGCACAAGACCCCCGTGTGGTGACGACCCCAGTGCATTTCGTTTATTTGAATGTTTCCACACGTGTTGTTTGCAGGCACTGTACCGTTCGCAAGCTACGCGGGACTGGGGTTCGACCCCCAGCTCTTCGTCAGCCAATTTGTGCCAAAGTTCATCTTTTCCTTTTCTCTGGTTTTGGCAGCTCACGTGGTGTAGTGACCATCACATCGGGCTAGATGGTCATGTAGCATACAGTGTCGGCGCTGGGGCAGCGCCATGTTGCGCCATATCCCGCGAAGAAAATCCAGACTCAAGAACAGATCAACCTCCAGGTACACGTTTTCAAAGGGAAACTGGAATTCTCGTTGATCAGATTCCTTGTGGTAGGGGGCCATGAGGCCAGTTGTACAGCATTGTAAGACCACGTGCCTGAACTTGCATGTGCGTCATTGGCAGTTGCAGACTCTGCACATTGAAGTCGCTGTAGTGAGACAGCCATTGGGCTGCCAATTGCCTGCAAAATCTGAGGAGGAAAGCAAACAAGCATATTTTTACCAGCTTGTTTTCTTGGCAGTCTGTGAGCCAGTCAAACATGCAAGAATGTAACCTGGGCAAGCGCCCAGACACCTACCAGAAGCAGTTGCGGGCGCTGGCCTCCACGGTTGCCGAGAAGGCAGCGCTTTTGTGGAGTGGTTGGGCTGCAAAGGAAAGGGTGTTTGCCATAATTCGGGGCATATTTGAAGGGCTTCTTCTGGGAACGCCCCCATTTTGCTCTGGCCATCGTGGTGCTGCACCAAGAGAGGGCGGTTCACGTTTGCACGTGCTGCAGATGCAGGGCTCAAAGACAAGTGTTTTGGGAAGAAGTGGCCAGGGGCCGATTCCTCCGCATGGCTGGCCCAGGTTTGCTCGTTTCTCTGGCCTTCGATGTTGCGTCGAAGCGACCGCCGATGCAATTTGAACTGGCACCTGGGGTGAAAGAGGCAATTTCCGTGGGACGCGCGCCCAAGTCCGATGTTGTTTGCACCTTATCGGGGATTTCATGGCACCACTTAGAGGTAAAACTCCCCAATCCTCTTCCTGAGGGTGACTTCCGCGTTGTGGTGCGAGATCTGTCCATGAACGGAACTGGTGTGCGTCCGCATGGTGAGGAACAGACACTGAAGTTGACGAAAGAGGTGGATGTAGACGTCACAAGCGGTGCTACCGTTTCCTTTCCGATGAGGAAGCCCAAAGCCAAGGGCGAGGAACGGGACGTCATCCAGCAGTCCTTCACCATGACCATTGAGTCCCTGGTAGATGGCAAGAGGCTCCCCAAGCACGAAGGGCACAAGCGGCCTGCGCAAGAGGCGAACCCAGGCCCCGCGAAGCGTCGCGCGGGCCAGGAGCTCTCCGAGAGTTGCACCCAGCGACTGGCAAAAGGGGAGGCCTTGGTCAGGTCGGCGCGGCAAGCCGAAGCCAGACTGCGTTTTGTGAAGCATGTTCGTCGTTTTCTTTTGTGGTGTTTTTTCTGACTTGAGTCGAATATCAAGGGGCGCATAATTATAAGAAGCATATGGGACCCAAGAACAGTGGAGGAAAGTCGCGGCAGACTTGCGGAGGCGTCCAGTGCCTACAGCCGCGGCATTCAACACATCATCCGGGTGCTTCCTTTTCTAGAGCCAGACAGTCCGCTCCTTATGCCCGCCAAGAACATGGTGAAGGACAACCTGGAACGTGCCGCTATGGTCAAGCAGAGGCAAAGCCGACTCAAGTTGGCGGAGGTAGAGTTGCCATAGGCTTGGCCATTGAAAGGCTTCTTGGCTTCATGAAGCAGATATGTTTCACCTACGGGCATATTGCACAGCGGCGCATTCTATGAAAGGCACAGAGCCGGGAGCAGATGTTGCGAAGCTTGGTACTGTAGACATCTGTCACTTTGCACTGCCATCCATCCTGGAGTTTAAGATTCGCTTGTGAAGGCATCGAGTGAGCCATCGAAGCCTCGCCTGAAACGTCTGCAATCAATGGCAGCTGTGTGCCATGGATGCACGCCGGGAACTCGTTTTCTCCGCACTTGTCCCTGTGTACTGCTGCAGAGGCACTACGGCGAGGCTTGTCTGGAGCAACTTGCGCATCCAGGCTTTGGAAGGAGAGGCCATGTGCTTTGCGGTTCTTCTTGGGGATCTATAGGTGCCGCCACAGCTGCCGCTGCAGTGGCTTCCGTTGTCCTGAAAGAAGGCGCCTGCTTGTAGTGTAGGGGTTCTAAAGGAGATGGATATGTTTGGACCGCCAGAAGCTGGGTTGGAGTAAGTTTCCAAAAACCAGGTGCATCTGCCGAAATGCAAGAGTTGGCAACAAAGGCGCAGCTGAGCAGGGACGTATCTGCACGTTGGGTCATGCCGTGCATGCTGGCAAGATTCCTTCCAGGTTTCCACTGTGGCAAGATGCCCGGTTTACGAGCTGCCAGCAGCGCTGCTGGAAGAATTCTGCATGGACCGTTGTTGCGGTGATGGGCCCCACCTCACCAGCGTTCACTGCACAAAACTCTTTGTTGTGAGGATCTGTCTTGGGGAGAGCCCGTGCGCTACGCAATCGCATGGCCGAGGCTGCATCTCACTCTCACCTGTTCTTCTTCTGTTGTCCTTAATGGGGGGTTTACGAAATTCGGTACCTTATTGGGGTCCTTATTCATTATAGGGAATCCTATTTGCTGATCTATATCAATTCGGGTGTCCCATATTTTTTTAAACCCCCCAATTATCACTTGCGAAGGTCCAGGGCGTTGCAAGACTTGAAGCCGCCATTCTTGGTGCTAGATGGTCTTGTGCCCGGCTCTCAGCGCAAGACTTTTGTCCGAGAATGACAGAACACCCTCCCCCTGGTGAGGCTTGTTTCAAGCCTGCTACTACTGCTGTCCAAAAATGGACCCAAATATCCCTACCTAAACCCTAAACCCGAAAAAAAGCCTACCAGGGCGTTGGACCATGTTTAAAGTGTCTTGCAGTGCGAGGTCTGCGTGGAATCTGGGCCAAGCCGTCCGGACTGGGAGTTATAAACCCTAAACCCTAAACCCTCGCCAGCGCGTGCGCCAGTGTGAGAGTCGAAACCCTCGTTAGTGCACCAAATAGTGTAGACCGAGATGGGTTAAGGGTTTCGGGCTTAGGGTTCAAAGTCCGGTTCTCGCAGCTTGCCGGCAAGCCTTGGAGAAGCCCCTAAACCCTAAACCCTAAACCCTAAACCCTAAACCCTAAACCCTAAAACCCTAAGCCCTAAGCCCTAAGCCCCCTGGCGAAAAGCCTCCCCGCAGCCGAAGGAGCGCCGTGATGCTGGGCGTGCGGTCCATCATCCTGTCCCGCTCGAGCTTCAACTGCGGGATGCTCGGAGGAGGGAGCTGGGGGGCAGAATGTAGGGTTTCCCACCCATGCTCTATACTGTATTCCTCTTTAAACCCTGAACCCGAAAACAAATTCTGACAACATCTGACAACTAAACTACACAATGTGCGAAGTGTTTTTTTGTTGTTTGTTGGGGGCAGAGGGGGAGGGGAAAGGTGCTGTAGTTTTTGTTTCAATCCCCTAAACGCAAGCAGAAAGAATGATTACATATTTTCGAGCGTGTGCTGCCCTGCATTGCGCTGTGGTGGCGAAAAGCAGTCCGCTGCCGAGGCTTGAATGGTCGAGCTTGCCATGCCTCGTGTGGCTGGCAGCGGGCTTGGGTGATTCTCGCAGGAGTGTGGGGACATCGAGCAATGGCAATGATTGCTTGTCCTTGCGAATGTGGTCATACATGTCAAGCCTCGCGCTAGCACGGGCAGCTTGCTTGAGTCTCGAGCGGCGTGCCCGCGCCAGCCTCGAGTCAGAACAATACGGCAACCATGGCTCAGCAGCCCTTACCCGCAAACTCGACCCCCATGCCTTTGCATAACCTGCCCTTTCTTGGGATCCCATTGCCATGTAGCAGAGGTACCCAAAACAGACCATTGCAGTTCGAGCACGAGCGGCAACCACTAACGTTCATTGCCCCAGTCTAATGGATATTTCCCCACTTGCTCGGCCCGGATGAGCCATTTTGCCCCCCTTGTTGGGGCATGCCGGTTTGCATGCGCACTGGACCACTGCTCTTACAGCAACGAGGCTTTACCATGCCGAGTACCACCTGGCGGAACCCTTGGCGGATGCTGTGGAAAGCCTCCGGGGGCTGGGCAACAGCCGTGGTCTCGGACCATCGACAAGGGGGGCAGGGGGGCTTGAAGGGGTTTTAGATTACATATATGCTTCGGGTGACCTGTGAGGTTCTTCAGCACTGGGGTTGGTGTTGCTCAGATGTCCTGGACCTGGAATGAGTCGCACCCAGCTCCGAGGTATCTACGCAGCTGAGGCGGAAAGATCTTACCCAATTTAGCACTCCCAGTGGGGCATTGTCTATCAACTTTGCAGGAAGACCACCCCAACTCAGTCGGGCCGCACACCCCACGAGGTGATGCACGACGGCATCTCAGCCCCCTGTGCTTTAGCAGTGGCAACTCTGTAAAGAGTGTCAAGTCGGCTGAGACACCGAAGACGTCGAGTTCAGATTCAGATGCCCTGCTGTTATGGCGAGGTTGGGCCCTGGTGGTGGGCAACGAGGAGAAAGGCAGGGTCTTGCTCGCGGCATGTCGGCCGGTCTCCCCAGGCTCTAAATTGCCCGAAACAAGCCGTCCCTTCCTTGATGCCCACAAGCAATTGCGATGAAGATGCCCGACATCCGCAACCATTTTGGTTTAGTTTCTTAGGGGCTTCTAAGGTCCCTGGCGAACCGTCAGCCCGAGAATGCTACCACAATTCCATGACAATTCTAGGAGCCGCTCTCCTACTCAAGCCCCTCGAAAGCTAGCTTACAGAAATTCTACGCCTCCCTTAACCAGCCTCTTCCTAACCCCCAACTCCTCAAATCCCCCTATCACCCTCTACATCCATGTGCGCCAAAGCTCTCAACCCATGACGCGGCCGCCATGGCCCGGGCTTCCTGCGGCGGCCCCAAGCGTCCCAAGGAGGTGTGCCGGCTGAGGGGTTTGGGGCTTAAACCCTAAACCCTAAACCCTAAACCCTAAACCCTAAACCCTAGCGGGAGTAAGAGCCAGATGCACAAGTCTAGACTTCAGGGCAAAACATGTACTGACTGAAAGGAGGGGGGAGACTGCGCAGTGAAGCTTAGATATTCCTAGGCTCTCAATGCTGGAAAGCAAGGACGCAATCCTGGGCCAAGGGTTGTTCAACAAACCTGTAGCTGTCGCTGGCTGCACATCACGAAGGCATAGACCTAAGCCCACAGCCCACTGCTGAGTTCTTGCCAGGGCATAAGATTACGTGGAATTAGTAAATTAGGCATACCCTATACTAGATAACCCCCAAAGAAAACGGATTGCGGGGGCACCGAACTCCCTAAGGAACACAACGGGGTCGGAGCCAGAAGCCCTGAACTCCCATTCTTTGCCAAACCCGGCATCGGCGTTTGGGGGAACCGCTAAAATTGAGATCGCGTGCCCTCTAGGAGAGTTCTTGATGAGGGTCGGTGTCTTGTAAGCCCTCAAGAGGGTTCCAAAAAGCCCAAACCCCCTAAACCCTAAACCCTAAACCCTAAACCCCAAACCCCCTGCAGCTCAGGCCTCCGGAGACTGCGGGGAGGGGGAAGCTCCAGCGCGCAAGCGACGGAAAGCGAAGCCGGCGAGGCAACAGCACCTCCCGAAGTCGAGGCGCGGAGCTTAGGAGCTGAGTAGGTAACCTTTAGTTCAACTGCAGCTTTTTTTTTGGGGGGGATAGAATCCTACCATAATTGAAGGGTTATCCATTGACCTTGTTGGCCCAGGGTACTCAGCAACTCGGAGATCTAACACTTCAATCGCTTTGGTTTCCTTCGGACAACGCCTTAGCGGGCCCAAAGCAAGATCCGGATGATAGCGACCCTGGGGAGTTCCAATGGCGCTTTCGCGCAATCCCCCTCGCTTTGAAGCTCAGGGGTTTGTCAACCAGCTGTAATATATCCCCTGCGAAGCCGCAAGGTTTGCATCGCAAGTGCCCAGTATGGAGTAATCGACAGGCTCAAGCACAGTTTTAATCATGTCGATCTTTCGAATCCCCAAGTGATCCCTGTCGGATCCTGACCAGCTACAGTCCAAAGTTCTGCTACGAGGAGCTTGGGCTGGCAGAAGCGCATGCAGTGCTTCTCCGCGAAGCCATCCCCACAGGGTGCGCCAAGTCCAGACCCCTCGCCACAAGAAGTGGCGAGCTGGCAAGAATGCAGGGCCAACAACCTGAGATCTGCAGAGAGAAGGTTGGCAGACAAGCCTCAGCTGAGGAGTTTGGCTGTAGAGCCTGCATGGCTGGAGCGCGCATCCCACCTCCTGGAGCAGGACCCATCTACTTTCGAACCTTCAGACCCGGATGCTTTCCGCGAGCTAGTTGACACACAAACGACAGAGATGAAACGAGCCCTGTCGATGATGGACGGCTCTCAAGATGAGTGCTGGTTTCTTGGGGACGAAATGAACACTAAAAGGGTTTATGGTTCATACACCTTAGTAGGAATTGTAGTAGTATAGGGTACCCCAATTTTAGGGTTCATTTCGTCCCCAAGGTTATACAGCTACGCAGACGACGTCCTGCTACCCTTCTCCCACAAAGTCCGGCCGCCACTCGATGCAGCGTCGCTTCAGCTTGCCGACCTACACGACGCCAACCTCGCTGGGGCCAGCTTGAAAGGGGCTTTCTTACAAGGAGGGGCCCATTTGGTTCTAAAACTTAGGTTATACGTCCCTTAAGTATAGTTCTACTACAGTAAGGGGGCCCCTCCTTGTGACAAGGAGCAGACCTGAGTGGTGCTGACCTGCGCTTCGCAGACCTGCGGGGTGCGAAGCTGGCACTCGCCAACCTCGGAGCTGCAAATCTCACTGGGGCCCTCATCTCTGGAGCCGATTTCCGGGGTGCCAACCTGAGCGCAACACACATGCATGGGACCTGGGCAAGGGAAGCATGCTTCGACTGGGCTCAGGTGGAGGACTCTGCCTGGGAGGAGGTGTTCCTTGTGAATGCCTCCATGCAAGGGTGCATTTGGGACTGCTGCAGCTTGCAGGGATCCTGGCTGGATGGTGCCAAGCTTCAAGATGCGAAGCTCTCAAACTGCATCCTTAAGAGGGCGCGGTTGGCGGGAGCCGATCTGACGGATGCCGAGCTGAGAAGCTGCACCTTTGCAGGCGGCGAGCTTGCGGGTGCGACCTGGGGAGTGTCAAATCCTCCCCGGGTCGCACAGATAACCGTGGAAGGATCCAGATTCGCGGCTCCCCGGCGCCGCGAAGTGCGAGCTCAGGGTGGCAACCTGCGGCGTCTGCTCATGATGCTGTTCTTCGACGACTCCGACGGGGAGGAGGACGCAGATTCCGAGGACCAGGAGGAAGAAGAGAACAAGGAGGATGAGGAGGATGAGGAGGACAAGGAGGAAGAGGACACAAATGAGAAAGTTCAGCTCGGAGAACAGGAAGAGCAAGGCGAGGAAGGGAGTTTCATGCCCTTGCTGTCGGAGGCGGTGGAGGTGGCTGGAGACCTTGCGGGCCAGGCCGCAGACCAAGCGGAGAGCTTCGCCTCAAGGCAGCTGCAGTCAAAAGTGGAGAACCTTGGGGACGAGGTGAGCCCGAAAAGGGATTATGGTTCATATACCCTAGTAGGAATTTCTAGTAGTCAGGGTATAGGAATTTCTAGCAGTCAGGGTATATGACCCCAATTTCTTAGGAATTTGTAGTAGTCAGGGTCATATGACCCCAATTTTTAAAGGGCACTTTTAAAGTCCCCCAAGGAAGGCCAAAGCCCGGCTGGGGGAGATGATGGGGGGAGTGGATGCGGCTGTGAAGCCCAAGGCCCGGGCACTGCAGAAGATGATGGCAAGCCGCCGTTTCTTACTTCTAAAAACAGCTGAACTTTTAAACTTTGGTGGGTTTTAAGTTCTCAGTAGGCATAATAAAAGTTTAACATTTTTTCTTTTGGTTGTTGGAGAAGTAAGGTTTCGTGAAGCTTTGCGCCTCACCCTCTGTGCCGCCAACGACCGTCAACAAGGTCCTAGGGATGATCGCAAGAACGAAGTCGGCCAAGAAACTGAATAAGACCTTGGATGAGGTGTGTACAGAGCTGCAAAAGATCCAAGACCAGGGCTTAGCGCCTCTACTTCAGAAGGTGCTGGACGCCCAGCTCGCGGGCCGAACTGGCCACGTGGTTCCAGCTTTTCTTGTGGTTTTTTGTTCTCAAGCAGTTTTTGAAAATTGCAAACCCCACTCGCTAAGCCAAGGAAGGGTTTCCATTCTAACCCGAAGCCCTAAAGCCCATTAAAAATCCCCAGGGTGGGCTGCTCCCCCTTTACACTAACAGTCCTTCATAGGGATGATTCGGATGGAAATAGGCCAAACCCCAGGCTACTCTTCTGGGCAGATCCTTCGGATCTTCCGCATCACTGCTTTGCAGATGGCCCGGGATGCCAGGGAGCTGAACAAGCTGCAGGTGGAACCGCCTGTATAGGAAAGTTGGGGCCTTTGCGTGGGGGTTCGGGGACCTCTGCTTCCTTTAGGTCTAGAATCTATAGAGTCCAGAAGAAGACGGCTTGAACCGGAAAAACTGCGGTTGGGGTGGTTGGCTTTGAATCAACATGATGTCCCGCAAACTAGCCAGGCCTACCTGGAGAAGATGCAGGAAACCGTGAATGAAAACAACTGGGACGATGTTCTCGACAATTTCACATGCTTCTTTGCCTTGCAGAAGCACCTGCAAGGAGAGAGATCACAGCAGATCTTTCAGATGGTTTGGAAAGATCGAGCTTTCCGGGCTTGCGTGCAGCAGGCCGTTCTGTTTGAAGAAGTTCTGCCTGTTAACCATCCGCCTGTCTTTGTCATCCATACTGTCAAGAAGGCGGTAGGGTACATCAAGGACAACGCGGAATCTTGGGAGAAGGCGATCGCAAAGGAACTTGCAGCCATCGAGCTGACTCGAACTCGCCAGTCCCAGTTTTTTACTTTCCTCGTCTCTGCTGTCACAGGCGTTTTCATGTACATTGCAACATTTCTGTCCAGCGTGACGTTTCAAGCCTTCCAGGAAGGGCGGCTAACTCTGCCATACCTGTCTGAATGGCTGCATGACTAGTCCATAGTACAATGGCATATATGAATTGCGGCGTTTGTGTCAGGATTCCATGTTTCAGGGGTTAAACTTCTACTGCCCATGTTAGCCTTTGCTCGTGGTGACGATTGGTACTTACGCGGGGGGGGGGTTCAACATGAACGCCCCTATAGACACTGACAACATGGAAGCCAATTAGCTGTCAAAGCTTGCTGCGCGACAGGCTTCAAAAGGAACGACACAAGTTGCTTCAAGGAGCCTTCTTGGTTCGAGCCTGCTTTAAGCGCCTTACCACGCCCAGGTTTTGGGACCTGCAATGCAGCTTGGAGGACGCGGCTGCAACTTGCAAGCAAGAAGTTGGTGTACATTTGGCGGGAAGCTGAATGGGCACTCTTCGGGCACCTCGTCCCATTTCGTCTGCATCTTCTTGAACATGCCTGGCAATTCGGCTCATGCCCTAAACTCCCTGTAACCCCTCCCAAGGCCCGTACAGTAAACCCTCAACTAGTATGAGGTTTCCAGGCAGGCGGCAAGCGCCCTTAAACCTTTGGCATGGATTGCCTAAACCCTAAACCCTAAACCCTAAACCCTGAACCCTGAACCCTGAACCCTGAACCCTGAACCCTATCAGTGAGGTGTCAACAAACGAAAGCCCAGGCTCACTCTCTCAAGGCGGCCCGGATCGGTGGTGCGAGCGACATCACGGCCCCCACCGTGGAAGAGGTTTAGGGTTTAGGGTTTAGGGTTAGGGTTTAGGGTTTAGGGTTTTTAGGGTTTAGGGTTTAGGGTTTAGGGTTTAGGGTTAGGGTTGAGGGTTGTTCAGGGTACCTGCTGAAGGAACTCCTTCATACGGGGGAGGTTCAGTAATTCATAACGCACCAGAACCCTAAACCCTAACTTATAAACCCTAAACCCTAAACATCCCTATCTTCAGGAGGCCTGCCGCGCGGGGGTCCTTCGATCTCTCCGGCAGACGTATTTCGACTTGTGCGAGCAGCATGGGGTGACGCGTGCTGGCAAGGCTCAGGGCTTGTCAGGGCATCGAGAGGGTTTAGGGTTTAGGGCTTAGGGGTCTCATTAGTATGGTTCTTACAGCTGAATGGAGAATTTAGAGTGGTAGACGGTAGAAGACCCCGATTTTAGGGTTCATGTGGTCCCCAAGGTTAGAGCCTTACGAAGAGGTTTCCGGTTTTTCGTGGCCGGTCTTGGATCAAGCAGCTCCACCACGGCGTCCTCGACTTGTTGCTGAAAAAGGGCCCCAAGATCCAATCTCAAACCCACCGGACAAATAGCCGACAAGCAGAACTCAAGCGTCCAAACCCCCCAAACTCTACACCATCAGCCCGACACCCTAAACCCCAAACCCTACACCCTACAAAATTAAGCCGTTCGACCCCACTTAGGAAGGCTGGGGGCTCTCCCGTCTTCTTTGACAAGTGGCACCTTGTATAGGATTTGCAGGGGCTCTGGGGTTTAGAGTCCTATACCTTACGAACCCCCAGGCCTTTTTTTTGCAGGTTACCCCAAGAATCCTATAAGTGATGTATCGAAATAAGAGCCTACCAAAAAAAGCGGTAGGTTTTGGGTTCTTCAGGTCGGCTTTAAAGGGGTCTGGGGATGCCCTAAACCCTAAACCCTAAACCCTAAACCCTAAACTCTGGTGGGAAAAAACCCTACACCCTAAATCTGTCACCTTTTCAGCAAGGCACGTCGCATGGCTGCAGCACGCGGCCACGGCAGCGCTGGATGCCGGGCTGGCCGCCCCAGGGGAGCCCTTGCTTCCGGCGCTGGAGGTTAGGGTTCAGGGTTCAGGCTTAAGGGTTTAGGGTTGGGTTTAGGGTTTAGGGTTTAGGGTTTAGGGCCCTTTTCTTGGTTTGGGGGTTTTGCATTTGCGGTCGAAAAAGGATTTTTGGAGGTTCCTTTTCTTGGTTTGGGGGTTTTGCATTTGGGGTCGCAAAAGGGTGTTTTGTGTTTAGTACAAGATGTTAGGCGCGGCGGTTCCCTTCTTGGTTTCAAAGGTCACAAGACAGGGGTTTCGGGGTTTAGGAAGTTGTGTGTAAAAGGTTGCAAGGTTTAAGGGAGGTTTGCACCAGATGCAAACACATGAAGCAGCAGTCCTCCATCCCCATAAGCCCTGGCCCTCTAGGTGCGGAAAAGTTCACGTAAACACAAAGGATGCGAAGCGCAGTGCAAATTGTGTTACCTCGGCTGGAACCGGCGTGACAGGCAGAGTCCCAATCAAGAACTCGGCAAGTGGGTTGGGGTCCCAGGGATTACCAAGCTGTCGCTTTAAGCATTTAGATCCTGCTCTTCAGGACTTCTCCGTGCTGAATGAGGCCATGGTCAAGGTACTTTGCCTGCATGTTGGGCCTTCCACAGCCTTCAGCCCTCAACTTTATAGACTACAGACATACGTGATTCCTATGGAATGCGCAGAAAGAAAAGGCATGACTCACCTCGGCGAGACCAATGTTTAAACGTTTCAAGATGGCAGATCTGTCATGAGTTGCACGGCAAGAAGTCGCAGCAAAATCAAAATCAATTCCAGACCACAAGAAGACCCAATAGGCAGAAGAACAGGCATTGGCGTTCCTGGATGAGAAGAAGGTGGCCGCATTTGCTACAGAGCTTGGACAAGCGGCTCGGAGGAGCCATCGTTGCTATCGTGTGCAGTGCGGTGTGGGTTGGTGTACGCATTCATGCTGAACTTAGGGACTATACCTGAACAATCTTCACCTTTAAATTCATATGGCTCAGTGATGAGGCTTTGAGCTGAAAGAGTGCTTCGGAGATTTAAAAAACCTTGGAGGAAGGCGAGCGTGCTGCCCCGCAAGCTGCGAAAGTTATCAAAGGGAGGCCACGCGACCCTGGAGACGAACGACTCAGAGGCGCAGGTGTTCGTTACTTCCTCTCGGGGTGTTTGTAGACAGGTTCACCCCTGGCCATTTGTTCTGTCGGGCTTGTGTGAGAAATTCAATCTAAAGGATGTTCGGTTGTTGCGCGTTGAGCCAGCAGAAGAAGTGCACTGAACTTGTGACAGGCATGCAGCTGGTAAGCTGCAAGTCTTAAGTGAACGTCATCGCTCGCAGGTTACACTGGCGTTTGGAGGCGGAGCGGGGTTCTGCAAACTCGTGGCAGTTCTCTTGTTCTTGCAGGTCCCAATCCTCAAACAGGCCAAAAAAGCTCACGCAATGAATTTCTGGCCTTTCTCTGGGCTACAGCCAGCACACCCCGTCACTCATTTCCCAAAGCAAGAAGTCGAAATCTTAAGGGCGGTTCCCCCACATATTATATAGAAGTTCATCAGCAAAGACCCTTCTGCTCGGAGCACGAACACGAAGCGGAGCTGAGAGTGCGGCTTCGAATACCGCAAGATGCTCACCTTGTCCAAGAGCCCGGAAAGCAGGAAGCTATGCCACATTTTCGTTGCGCCGAGCAGTAGAAGTAAGTTTGAGAAAGCGCATGGGGCCGAGGATATCGAACGCGCAGAGTGAATTTGTCACATCGGGCGATGCAAAACCGTGATGGACGCGACGCGCCCCCAAAGCCCGTGACCGAGCTCGCGCTGGGCGCGATTCTGATGCTGAACGAGCGCCGAGGCAAGAGCCACAGGCAGCAAGGATTGAAACCCATCGCGTGGACATGCTGGTTGGGGATTTCGGCCTTTGATGTCTTTCCAAGCTATATGAAGACTGGGACAATAAGGGGAGATTGACTGTGCATGAATCGGGCCTTTAGTTGGGAAAATCTGGCATATCTGGCAGGGACTGAAGTCAAAGTCTCCAAGCAGCATTTGCAGAAGCTGCGCGCGCTTTTCCGCGGCGGCGACGTGGCTTGGCCAGCATGGAGATACATGGTCTTTAGGGTTCTTGGGGCGACTACCCGAAGAATACGGAGGAATCTACCACGCAAGCTTCCAGCAGACATCTCTCTGACGGCCTAAACACATCCTCCTTCAGCAAGGGTGGCGTGCTTTGGTGTCCCGTCCGAAGCTGCCGAAGAGCTCCTAAACTCAATCCTAAACCCTAAACCCTAAAACCTAAACCATCGTCAGTCCGAAGTCCCAAGCCGGCAGCCGGCAAGCCATTCACAAACGAGAGCGTCCACTTTGGTGGGCGGAAATGAACCCTAAAAATTGGCGTCGTATCCCTACATACTACTATAACCCTGTTTAGGTATATGAAACATTTATTTAACCCTTTTGGGGTTCATGTAGTCCCAAGTCCCACAAAGTTTCTTTGCTCGAAATAAGGTACACTCCTAGGACCCGTCTTCCTCATGACCTGTAGATCAACCTCCTAAAACCCTAAAACCCTAAAACTCTTAAACCCTAAAACCCTAAAACCCTAAAACCCTAAACCTTAACCCTCCCTCTGGAAACCCAGCAAGTGTGACCGAAGTTCAGGAGGCCTCCTTCCGGGATTCGGCTTTCTGCTGCCTGCTGAGGTGTGGAGCAGTTGGGTGGGCCTTGTGGGGAGGAGCTTAGGGGCGAAAGGGGTGCTAGGGCTCATCAAGTATCTTGGGGCGCTAGAATTTGGAGTTGGGGCGCGCTTCTGTTCAGGTACAGCTCTGCGATGCAGAAGCTGGGCCTGCAAAGTGGCTCTTTTGGGTTGCGGGGCCGGGGACTATTCATGTCTATTCTGGGATGAACTTATGATCGCAAAGATTACCGAGGGAGAGCACAGAGGCTTCACGTCCTTGGCCTGGCACCGAGGACCTTTCTCCGCTACATGGTGTTTTTTTTGCGTGGGAGGGTGAGGTTGAATCCAACACGAGTTCGGGTAGGCAGGCATCTTATGTTTGTCTTATGTTATACGAGTGCTCCGGGATGTATTTTGCCGGCAGTTTCAGTGGACGAGGAACGACAAGGCTGGTCCAAAGGAGAATCAAGAGAGAGAGAGAGAGAGAGAGAGAGAGCGTCTCACCCCTTGGAAGAGAGAAAGAGAGAGGATGCGGGAGATAAAAATGAAAAAGATATTCTTCGTTATTAAAGGCAGTATGGTAAGATTGTTATCTTGTGTGTT